TGAATCAGTTGCCAAGCATCTGAATGTAAACCACAAGACCCTGGAGAGGCTGCAACATTCCAGCTGATCGGCGCTTCTTCAGGGCTCAGCAGAAGTGCCAGGATCAACGCTGAGCTCCAGCTGGAGCCTGGTGCTGATCCTGGCGCTTCCACTGAGCCCTGACAGCCCCGAAGAAGCGCTGATCCTGGAGCTTCCACTGAGCCCTGACAGCCCTGCAGCTCCAGCCGTCTCTTGCTCAGGCTTGTGCGGTGCTGCCACCGGTTCAGCTCATTCCCCTCCCCCACTACCTTTTCTAGGATGGTCGCATACCACCTGCCAGATGCCAATGTACCACAGGTGGTACCCGTACCACTGGTTGAAAAGCCCTGCCCTAGTCATCGCCTGGGTGGACTACCTTAATGTGTTTTACATGGGGCTGCCCTTGAAGAGTATCCAGAATCTTCAGCTGGTTCAGAATGCAATTGTTCAGCCAATTAGGTGTGCCCTAAAGTTACATCTCTGTTCTGTGGGCTGTATTGGTTGCTAGTGTGCTTCTGGGTCCAATTTAGGCTTCCTGGTTCTGACTTTAAACTCTTCAAAATTTGAGGCTGGGTTGTTTGAGGGACCACCTCTTCCTGATCACACCTGCCCGTCCCATCAGGTCCAGCAAAAAAGTTATGTTGTGGGTCTCTAATGCGATAACTGCCTATATGGTCCTCCACCAGTTAGAAGCCTACAACTTCCAGAGCTCTTAAGGTCCTCTTAAAGTCTTAAAGAACTGGGCTTCCAAGTTCTCTGGTTGATAGACGTAAGGTGAATATGGCTTTGGATTCCCACAACACTCTTAGTTAGTTTCTTGAACCAATTCACGTTTTTTTGGGATCTGTGTAATATTCTGAACCATCAACTAAACAAGCACAACATGCTGACGCCCTCTCCCACTTCCCCCTGGGGAAGTTAAAACTAACCCAACCTCACTTGTGGTGCAAATGCGGCCACTAAAATCATAATCAAATCAAAAAGTCTTGTGTGAATGCAGTCGAAGAGTCGTCGTAAATGAGGAAGTGGTGAAGATTGTCAATGTGCAAACTGCTAGTTTCCTTCACTCGCGGGGATTTTATTTTTCATCTACTCATTTAACATGCTTGGCTTTAGAAAGAAAGAAAGAGAAAAAAAAGGAACTGAAAGTTGGCATATTACGAAGTCCAGGCCTTCTTGTATCATCATTAGTTCTAAAAGTGCTTTGGGATCTAAATCTGCCCTGGAGATATTGTTGAGAAATAAAGAGAGCAGGTAGCTACAACTTAGTGCTTTCGTTGGAAGGATGCCAACGGGGAAAAAAAAATAAGACAAAGATAAACTGACTTGATAGAAACCAACTTTGGGTGACTGGTAGCTGTTTGCTTCCTGATAATTGGGTGTTCTTAGCCATCCCCATCAAGTCTGCCAGTGTTTTTTTTTTGTAAGGAGATAACCTTCCTCTCACGACAGCTATTTTATGGGAATGAACAAAAAACACCCTCAGATGCCAAATGTCTAATCTGTTTTGATGGCTTTCTTGAAATGAACCATCAAAGTTAAATTGCCTTAACTTTAAAGAGCAGATTGGCAGGAAGGAGAAAGGGTGCCCACGATTTTAAATAAGCAATTTCATGGTCTTTCCTACCGGTGAACAAAAATGACTTGATTCCTCTGAAAGGCTGTTTATACCACAAATTTAAATTGTTCCAAAATAGCTCCCTTCGTTCACCAAATATTCTGTGCAGAGAATGTGAAAATATTGGTGTCTGTGGATACTGGCAGAGGTATTTATTGTAACCCGACCATTCTGGAGAAAAGCATTAGAAATCTGAGTAATTTTTTTTAAAATCCTGGACCACAGATCCATGTGTGGCTTTGGGTCTGCAATGCAATGCAAACCAATCAATGGGAAGGAGCAAAGCAGTAACTAAGGAGAAACTTCCTAACAGTGAGGACAATCAACCAGGGGAACAGCTTGCCTTCAGAAGTTGTGGGTGCTCCATCACTGGAGGTTTTTTTGAAAAAGAATGGACAGCCACTTGTCTGGAATGGTATAGGGTTTCCTGCTTGAGCAGGGGGTTGGACTAGAAGACCTCCAAGGTCCCTTCCAATTCTGATATTCTGTTATTGTTGGGACAAGCAGAAGGAAGGAATTCTTTAAGATGTTCTTCTTCTTCCCACCACCCTCTTTTTCAGATGCACCTGGAGTTTAGGAAAGGCATTCAACATTCCCCTTTCTTTCTATTATCTCTGGATGTCTTTGGGGGCACACTCATTTAGTGTGTTTTTTCCAATCACGTAAGTGTTGCTGAACAAAGAGGGAGGACAAAGAAAATAGAACTGTAGACGCTTTCCCTGCAGAAAGCTGCCTGCCATCTTTAGTCATGAGGCTATGATGCATTTAAAAAAAAAACCACAAAAATATTTTTCTTGGCACAAGTCATCCACTTTCTTTCAACCCTGGCAACCACAGGCCAAAAAAAGGCTGTATTTCCTACTGAGCCACTTGCATCAGAGTTAATGGGATTCATGATTTAAGGATGACCTATATCAGTGATGGCGAACCTTTTAGAGACCGAGTGCCCAAACTGCAACCCAAAACCCACTTATGCATCGTCGGGTGCCGGGTTGATGTGGCCCAATAGGTGGGTGTGGCCCATTGGGTGGGTGTGGCTGTGGTGATAACAGCAGACTAGGTGGGACTAAGAAGTTCAATCAATCGATTCCAACTTTCAAGATCTTTTTTTTTCCTGCGAGAAGTTGAAATTGACTGATTGATTGAACTTTTTTTTTTTTTTTTGCACACGGCGGCGGAGGCCGAAAGCGAAAAGGTTTTATAAAACCCAGCTGAAGGCCCAGGACTGGGGCGACAGCGCGCGTGCCCACAGAGAGGGCTCTGAGTGCCGCCTCTGGCACCCGTGCCATAGGTTCGCCACCACTGACCTATACTGTAACAGAGGTATGGGGTGATCTGATCTTCCTTTCTTCCTTTCTTATCCAATCCAATTTCCTTGCAAAGTCAAAGAGCCATCAACAGTCCCACCCGGCATTAATCCCCTTTAGTTGACAGATCACCCAAAGCTCTAGTTGGCTAAAACATGGTTTTGGAATAAGCTACAATTGTATATGGACTCACTTGTAGTCAGAAGAAAACACCAGAATCATAGGAACAGAATAACAGAGTTGGGAGGTCTTTTAGTCCAACCACGACCCTATACAACTCCAGACAAATGATGGTCCAATCTCTTCTTAAAAGCCTCCAGTGATGGAGCACCTACAACTTTTGAAGGCAAGCCAGGATATTGAGCACAATGGAGGAATCAAACTATAGAGCATTAGTGCTGAAAAGCATCTTATTCAAATTACCTGAGTAACTTTACATCTATTCTGGAAAGTAGAAGGGATTACCTTTTGCAGGTTGTGTGTGTGTGTGTGTTTGTGTGTGGTGTGTGTGTCTTCAAATCAGTGTGACTCCTGGCAACGGCCAGGATAAGTCCTTGCAGTTTCTTGGCAAGGGTTCCGTGGTAGGTTGCCACTGACTACTTCCTAGGACCAAAAGAGAGTGACTGGCCCAAGGTCACCTACCTGGCGTTGTGCCTAAGGCAGAGCTAGAACTCACAATCTCCCAGTTTCTAGTCTGATGCCATAACCACTACATCAAACTGTCTAAGATTACCCAGTAATCATACTACAGTATTTATTGGCAGTTGGGTTCTGCTATTCTTCCACATTCAGTTCCAGCTTCTTCTCTGTACTTTTGATCATATCCATCACCTGACTGCCTATGGCCACAATATGCCTCACATATGATCACAAATTCCATGTAGATGAGTTCACAAACATTCAATCCTTCCTTTGCCAGCCACCCCACTTGTTTTCTGGGCCAGGCATGGAAGAAAGAAAATATCTTCTCTCTGCACCCCGCACGAGCTGGCAGAGCAGAGATAAATTGCACCCACAACCAATCTGCTTGGTTAGAAAACAGTTATTTTATTTTATTTATTTATAAATAAATAAATAAAATAAATAAATAAATAAAATTTTCCAAAATCAATATATTAGCAACCCAGATTGTTGGGGGCAATATGCTGACTCTCTAAACCGCTTAGAGGGGGCTGCAAAGCACTATGAAGCGGTATATAAGTCTACGTGCTATTGCTACTGCTATTGCAGGCTAACTCTGCCTACTGCCAGCAGTTCGATGCTGACCGGCTCAAGGTTGACTCAGCTTTCCATCCTTCTGAGGTTGGTAAAATGAGGACCCAGGTTGTTGGGAGCAAATAGGCTGACTCTGTAAACTGCTCAGACAGGGCTGCAAAGCACTATGAAGCAGTACATACTGTAAGTCTAAGTGCTATTGGTACTGCTATTGTATGTCGAGAACAAGAGATCAACTATGTAACTTAATATTTAGTAATATTACTACTACTAATATTACTATTAGGGGACTGGAGGCTAAAGCATATAAGGAACGGCTGCTGGAACTGGGTATGTCTAGTTTAATGAAGAGAAGGACGAGGGGGGAAATGATAGCAGTGTTCCAATATCTCAGGGGCTGCCACAAAGAAGAGGGAGTCAAGCTATTCTCCAAGGCACCTGAAGGCAGGACAAGAAGCAACGGATGGAAACTAATCAAGGAGAGAAGAAGCAACCTAGAACTAAGGAGAAACTTCCTGACAGTTAGAACAATTAACCAGTGGAACAACCTGCCTCCAGAAGCGGTGAATGCTCCAACACTGGAAGTTTTTAAGAAGAGACTGGACAGCCATTTGTCCGAAATGGTGTAGGGCTCCTGCCTGAGCAGGGGGTTGGACTAGATGACCTCCAAGGTCCCTTCCAACATTATTATTATTATTATTATTATTATTATTATTATTATTATTATTATTATTATTATTATTATTATTATTATTATTATTATTATTACTCTCAGCCCCAGAGATACCCACACAAACACAGGGCCTTAGCTCTCCTTCAAAGCATGATCCATTCAGCCCTACCTGCCACTTTGACTTCGTTGGGCTTACAGGCTCTGCAGGGCAAGAGCTCAAACTCTTCAGCTTGGTACATGGAGTAGTCCGTGCTGGCCACCACGATCTTGTCTCCCACTTTCCACGACTGCACATTGTCAGCCAGTCTTAGGATTGTACTGTTCACGTTGGTATCCACCCGCACGGTAAGCCTGGGTCTTACTGAAAAGCCAACAAGGGAAAGAAAGTGGATGAGGATATAGGAAGTGTAGAGGAACATCTCAAGTTCTCCTTCTCCAGTTCCCCATGGCCCAAACATGTTTCTCACTCATCAAACAAGGATTTTGGAAAGACAAGACAGCTGTTGTTGTCAACCACAGGCTAGATTTGTGTGTCTTCCTCTTATTCAGGAAGCACAATAAGTAGCTCCTATGCTGTTGTTCTTTAGCCACAATCTACCACGTAGATCTGATGATTATAACCAGGAAGCTGTCGTTATTGTTATTTACACACAGAGAGAGAGAGTTTGCATATATAGTCATTATGGAAAACAGTGTGAGGTTGCCCTATCTTCCATTCCACTCCCTTGACAAAACCCTGAGAAAAAAGCAGAAGGGCGGATGTGGATGGTAGCCTATTGACTGCCCATTCATACCGAACAAAATGCCCTGAAGAAAATATTCCATGCATGTAGAAAACTAGCATGACAGGGAAAGACTTGAACATAGACTTCACCTGGCTGTACTTGTTTTCCATTTGAAGTTTTCTAAAAAAAAACAAAAAACCACCCCAAATGCACAAATAGTACAGCCCTTTGTGCCATCTCAGGACTCTGTCATATTCTATGTCCTTTTAGAGTCAGCCCTTATATGCTCTGTACTTCAACAGCTGGGAAAGCTGCATGAAGACTAGTAACCTGATACAGAGAATGGAAAGCCAAGTTGGCAATGGAAAGCATTTGTGTGACAGAAGCTACTTCAGAAACCCCAAAACTTTAGACTGGTGCAAAAACTGCATTTCTGCTTAAGTCTCTGAGGTAAAATCCTGCTGCCTTCAGAATGTATAGATCAGTAGAGCAAATTTCAAAATAGTTTCCTCCCAATTATACTGTGCTCAACGTTCGAGAATGAGTCACCTACCAGATTGGCCACATAAGAAGCGCACTCTGTAGTTATGACAGCCTTTCTCCGTCTGCTTTGGGCCACGGCAAAAAAACCTATAATCATGGCCTTTTTTGTATAGGACCTCGGTTGCCAGTTTCGTTCCCTCAAGTGTGACCGCCTGGGAGGAGAATCAAAACGCAAACACAATAATTGCCAAGCGTATGATCATCAAGGATAACAGCTCGTACAACAACAACAACGGGAACCATAGGCTCAGCAACACTTGTGAGAAGGAGAAAAACAAGCATTTTCTGCCTGGTAACTTCTTATCTAAACCATTGCAGCGAGTTGAGTGGAAGAGGAATTTGCCTCGAAGGCACCGTGACAAACACAGAATGCATATTTCCCATGATCTCTACTGGGTCCCCCCAGGTCTGAGGTCATAATATGAGCCTTACCAAGCAGTTCTTGGCTTTGGACCATAGTTATGGAAAACCCATTCAGTGGTGGGATTCAGCACCACTTTGGCAGAACCGGTAGCTAATTTTTTGTTGCCCAGCCCCAGAATGGACTTCCAGAAGTGGCATCCACACAGAGAACCGGTTGTTCACCTATTTGAATCCCACCACTGAACCCATTCATTTCTTCAGCTTAAGATCATCATTAGATGCTTTGTGCTCTAGAACATTCCAAGGAAAGTTCCTTACACTTAAAATGGACGGTTTTTTTACTGGTGGCCCTCAAATGTACTTCGGAACGAGATATTTTGTCCACCACTAAACTTTTTCTTCTTTTCATCCCAAACCAAAGGCCTTCTAATTGCCCCAGGCTCTTTCATTATATTGCAAGATTCCTACTTTAAGTTGATGGGATGCATCGAAATAACCTGCCAGCTGTTAACACTTCCCTCTTGTATTTATTGATGGGATTTTCATCCAGCCTTTATTATTTTTTTGTAAATAATTCAAAGCAGGGAATACATTATTTCTTAAGTTTGTACTTGTTCTTGCTTGGGTCAAATTGATTAAACTGTGGGATCTTAAGGGACCAGGAAGTGAGTCTTTATGTTGGTAGTACCTCTTTCTTCAATGATATCCCTCCTGCAGATCTGTAATCCCACACCTTGTTGATTTTTCACAATTTTTTTTTCTCCCAGGCTTTGATTTACGATGTGTTATGGGGCCAGTGTTCTCTTGGTCATATTCCCTTTTCTTTGGCATATGTTCTTTTCTTTTTTTATTCTTTTTGAATGATTAGCTACACCGAGTTCCAATAATCAGGTAGCCTCAAAATAGACATATCATAACCCTAATTCTTAAAGATTTTGCCTCGTGAATTTAACAGCCTATAAATTATCCTGAGACAGGGTAGCCTCGTCATCACCATCCCATTGCACTTAAAACAGAAAATGGGACAAGCAAAATCGAAGTCTGCTTCCATCAAGTGGGTACGTGGCCAAGCATTTTGACCTGTGCTGGGACTTGTATCAGTAATTTAAAAAAAAAAAAGATGTTATTCAAATGTCTTTTGACTTAAATGTCCCGATTGACTCAAATATCTTTTTGTTTCATGCTGCCACTTGTTTAAAAGGCACACAGGCCTAATGACACCCAGGCTGAAAGCCGCGTGCTGAAGACAACTCAGCAAGACGACCGAGAATAACAATTCTGACAGAAGAACGATCGGTTCCAGGTTTATCCAGGAGCGAGTCCAACACAACAAGAAAGCAGGTTGCTCTCTATGAAAATAATCCACGGGTCACAGGCTCCTTTGATGGCTTGAGGCAAATCTCTTCTTTCAAGTTGCCGTCCCTCAGGGGTGTATTCAAGATTTTTGCTTTGCTTTAATTGAGTGGCGCCAAGTGCTTCGCGGAAATCTGTGAAAACTTTGGAGCGTTTTTGGAACCGGGCAGATTACTGACTCATCGTTGTTAAACGATGATAAATCATTACGAAATGGTTTAGGATGGGATTATTTGTTATGATTGGCAGCGTGATGGCTTCTGATCCATCCGTGACAGAAGAATGGAATTTTCTTAATTAGTTGGCTTTTCAAAACAGAGGGATTATCGATATCAGACATGGCAGAGAGGACTTAAAGAATGACTGCACCCAACACACATGTTGCATGCATTACCCTCTGCCTTGTTCCATGAAAAATTTAAATATATTTAATCTCTCTCTCTCTCTCTCTCTCTCTCTCTCTCTCTCTCTCTCTCTCTCTCTCTCTCTCTCTCTCTCTCAATAATAGTTTGGGAGGGGAGATGTTCAACTGTTAAAAGTGTTGCTTGAGTAAAGGAAGTGTTCACACAATATAAAAAAAATGTTGAGACTTTGGAAAGAGTACAGAGAAGAGCAACAAAGATGATTAGGGGACTGGAGGCTAAAGCATATAAGGAACGGTTGCTGGAATTGGGTATGTCTAGTTTAATGAAGAGAAGGACGAGGGGGGACATGATAGCAGAGTTCCAGTATCTCAGGGGCTGCCCCAAAGAAGAGGGAGTCAAGCTATTCTCCAAAGCGCCTGAAGGCAGGACAAGAAGCAATGGGTGGAAACTAATCAAGGAGAGAAGCAACCTAGAACTAAGGAGAAACTTCCTAAGCGTGAGAGCAATCAACCAATGGAATGGCTCGCCTTCAGAAGTGGTGGGTGTTCCATCACTGAAGGTTTTCAAAAAGAGACTGGGCATCCATTTGTCTGGAATGATATAGAGTCTCATGCTCAAGCAGGGGGTTGGACTAGAAGATGAGGTCCCTTCCAACTTTATTATTCTATGTTCTATGTTCTATGTACAGGCTGCATTGGCACTTCAGCTGTAGGATGCAATCTTGTAGGGTGAAAGTTTGGGCAGTCATTGCCTGAAATGAGACAGGTCTCCTGCTTGAGCAGGGGGTTGGACTAGAAGACCTCCAAGGTCCCTTCCAATTCTGTTATTCTATTTTTCTGAAACAGCAAATTTTAATCATGACCCAAAAAGCTGGGTTTCACGACTCTTAGGTGTTTTCACGCTGGCTGTAGACCACCCATCTCACACCAACCTGAGCAAAACAATACACTTTGCCAATACTGAGCAGAACACAATCCATCGGTCTCATAAACTTCAAAAGAAATTATTTCTATTTTCCAGTTTATGATTGGAACAGTAGGTCATGCCAACTGGAAAGTACAGATGGGTGGCTTTTAATGTCTTCCCATTTTTCATTTTTTCAGATCCAATAGGTTGAAGTCTACTTTTTTTATTAATGTGCTTAGCTGGTCATTTCTCCAGGTTTTTGCTTGATTTTTTTTTTCATGCAGAATTTTGCTAACTGTTCCCCCTAGCAGTATGCATTTGAGTACCGTCTTTTCCTGACAATGTAGATTTTGAATATTAGAGATGTTTCTTTAAGAAGAAAACTGAGAATTGGGTTGAAAAATGGCAAAGTGTGATTTTTCAAATGAGGCTTAATTTTGCTTCACATATTTGTTCATGCTTCAGTACATTTGCATTCAAATGCAAACCGTACAAATTTCTCTCTCATTCCTATCTGGAGAGAGAACCACCATCTATCAGCCTAATAAATAATAATAATAATAATAATAATAATAATAATAATAATAATAATAATAATAATAATAATAATAATAATAAACTTTGCAAAACACATCAAGAAACTGCACCTTCCTGCAATAACTCCAGCAATGTTACAAAAAACTGCACTACTCGGAACATCTTATATTTTAAGGAGATACCTGGTTGACACCTAGGATGCTAGTAGCAACCCGTTTCAACCATCAGCGCCAGCCAATTTGAATGTTCAGTTGACTGAGGTTCATGTTTAATGAATAAAAGTATAATAATAATAATAGGATGCTGGTAGCAACCCATGTCAACCATCAGCGCCAGCCAATTTGAATGTTCAGTTGACTGAGGTTCATGTCTAATGAATAAAAGTATAATAATAATAATAGGATGCTGGTAGCAACCCATGTCAACCATCAGCGCCAGCCAATTTGAATGTTCAGTTGACTGAGGTTCATGTCTAATGAATAAAAGATAATAAAACAAAACAACAACAACAACAATATAAATTAACAACAAAATACAATATACAATACAAAATACAATAACATCTGCCCATAGGACCATCCCATTCAAGCACACCCAAAGCAGATAAGACCAAATAAACCTCACTTTTCTCAGATAACTGCAAAAAAAAAAAATCTACAGCCCCAAAAAATCCCAACAGTATAGAGAGAACCAAATTATGGGAAACAGGTATAATGCTAGAGCAGGGTTCCCAAACTTGGCAACTTTAAGACTGGTGGACTTCAACTTCAATATGGCTGGCTGGGGAATTCTGGGAGTTGAAGTCCACCAGTCTTAAAGTTGCCAAGTTTTTGAAGACCCCCTATGATAGAGGATGATTACTCCGTATGACATACCTGGAGATCGATAGGATGATCACAGATTTCTGGGTGAGCAGCTCTTAAATCCGAGAGTCTCTCTCCATCTTTGGATTTTGATATTTTTGGCTTCTCAAACCACTCAGTCCACTCAACATCTGGGGAAAAAAAAGAAACAACTCAAATTAAGGTCATTTTGGACACAACGGGCCTTAACGAATGCTGGAAAAAATGTGCTGCTCCATAAATGTGCCAAAAAATATTAGCAAATCTGTTTAAAAGCTACCCACTCCTGGTGTTTTCTCCAGGTCATCAGATGATGTCCCAAAACACATCAAGCTATTTGGCCTTTGAAAGACAGGCTGGAGAAGAAGAGACATGGGAAAACCAAAATTAATGGGCCCAGGATGGTGCATTTATGGTTTACTGGTTGATTTCAAGGTATAATATTGCAGAGATTCCAATGACAACATAACCAAATAAAGATTAATCTGAGTGTTCTAGCCCAGGGGTCCTCAACTTTGGCAACTTTAAGACATCTGGACTTCAAGTCCCAGAATTCTGGGAGTTGAAGTCCACAAGTCTTAAAGTTGCCAAGGTTGAAGACTCCTGTTCTAGCCAATAAGTGACATTCTTTTTTCATTTTAATTTATGTTTGTTCCAAACGCATCCACAGCTCATAAAATAGGGCTCTCATGAGAAATTGACAAAGTTAGTATGTCCAAAGTGGACAGTTGATGAGGGATTAGAGCAGCATCTCAAGCTTCTGGAGGACCACAAAAGACCACCTGGTCATGCGACTACAATCTGAGTTTGGGTGTCTGAGTATCTCTTCTGAGCATCTGGAGGGATAAATGAGTTTAAGACTAGGAGAAAGAATTTGCCTTGAGGCCAATTGCTGCTATGCATCTCTAAATTTAACTCCAGATTTAATTAATATCTCTGTGGGGTGCTACAAATGGGTGCCGGAGGGCTGCCTGAGCTGTGGTGGTACAGTGGTTAGTATGCAGTATTGCAACCTGTTAAGCTCACTGCCAGGAGTTCGATCCTGACCGGTTCAAGGTTGACTCAGCCTTCCATCCTTCCGAGGTTGGTAAAATGAGGATCCAGATTGTTGGGGGCAAGAGGCTGACTCTGTAGACTGCTTAGAGAGAGCTGTGAAGTGGTATATAAGTCTAAGGGCTATTGCTATTGCTATTGCTTACAGTCATTGTGTCAATAGCTGGTCATCACTGGTCTGGCTGTGATGAAATGAAACTATCAGTTCCTTTGTGCAGCATCAAAACAGCTTGTAAAATCCCTGTCTACTATGGGACCAAAAGGTGGAAATTCAGTGGTTCTCCCAGTGTTGCTGAGCATCTACGTACATCAGGGATGTTGGGATGAGGGATGTTGGGAATTGTAGTTCAGCCTTAGGTTGATTTTTGCATGTTGGGGTTGAAGAATATTTCCAACTCTATTGGTAACTGCATTGCAAAAACCTCACCTTGAACCCACTCACTGGTTGAAGACACATTGAAACGCTCTCCATTTTCTGCCTGGAACAATTTGAATACTTTGGCTAGAGCTGAAGTTTTGCGTCCTGCAAAAAAAAAAAAAAAAATAATCCAAAAATACCCAAATGGGAAGCAAGAGAAGAACTTCTTAGCAATCCTCAAAGCTGCAGTTAGTTATGGAGAAGCTGTCAACAATTCAGTCTTTATGTTTCTTTGCGGGATTGAGAACACACACATGAGGGACCTGCACAATTTTAAATGCAAGCGCTAAATATCAACATGATTGTTTACATCATCTCTTAAGCAGAGTTAATTGTCAGCCTGGAAGGGAGTGTCTGCAAATTCAGCAGAATGAGGGGTGGGTGGGGGAGGAAGGAATATGAATGACTTATTCTGGTTGCAGAATAGATACACAGGGACTTAAATTGGAAGGCTTTAAAGAGGTTCCAAACAAATCAGCTGCAGAGTAAAAAATATAGGGATAAGAAGGTTATTCTAGTCACCTTTTTAAATAATTCCACCAGGTTTTCACTCAGATTTAGCAAGGAACGAGACGTTTCCCTCAAGTAAAGTGAGGAAAGCTACTTTTTTCTAACTTTCAAAATACAGTTACATTGCAGACATTTCTAGGAACTAGCGACAATCCATTCCTAATTTCTGGAATTGTTAGAAACAATTTGTCAGCTTGAAGGGAGCCAGCAGGGAAGAAGAACTTTGCAAAATAACTTGCATGAATCAATTACAGTTTAACATGCTGCAAAGTAAATGTTAAATTAAATTCTAAAACGAGGAGGAGGAGGAGGAGGAGGAGATGGAGGAGGAGGAGGAGGAGGAGATGGAGGTGGAGGAAGAGGAGGAGGAGGAGGAGGCAGCTCTTTTGGCAAAGAAGGAAAACTTGGGGGAAATTTGAAAATGGGGTTCAGACCATAATATGAGAGACACACTATCAAGACACACCATTGGAGCAAAGAATGCTTTCGTCTCCAATCTCCTACTAGATTTGTGACCTTGTGGGAAGCTACCCATGAAATTTACTCTACTCATGAAGGTGAGGTGTGCAAACAAAACAGAACAGCATAAATTGGCACGTTTGGAATTTACTGCAATAACAAAGTTTCTTTTCCCAAACTCAGCTTCACTTTATGGTTGAGCCCTAGCCTGTCCCCAAAGTGTCACTAATTGCAGATAAGTCAGGATCTCGATGCGGAATTTGAAGTTAGTTTACCATCCAGAGTTTCTGCTGCGATCTGGGGCTAGGCATGAATCATGGATGATTAGCCAAGCATAGTTAGAACCCTTGCTCTTCCACAAAAGACTAGGAGGGAAGGAGCAAGAACATAAGAGGCCAAGATACTTCAGCAGGTAGGATTTAAATTAATAGAAAGGAATCTAGATTTTGGGTCTGGTACCTCTACAAAGTCAAGAATATGATGACAGTAATCCTTCCAGAATTTGGCCACTGCTTAAAATGTGTAGCCTTTCATTCCCAGAAAGTTCAGCCTGAATTTTGAGAACTGAAGCCCATCCGTCTAAAAAAAACATCCAGGCTGGAGAAGACTGATGTAGGTTCTCCATTCCAGACAACATAAGCCCTGGCTTCGAATAATACCTGAAGTAGCTCAATACCTTATGCCAAAATGCCACTCAATACAATTTAACTGCCATTATTCGAATGGCCATATCTTGGTAATTACCTTGATATTCAACATGATCTTCCACAGATGACAAAGGTTTTCCTTTGACTGTAATAAAGCTCCAGGGATGCCTGTGGAATTAAAAACAACACAGACACTCAGTATTACTTCTTTGTAAGAAATGCAGGCGTCTTTTTCAAATATGGCTTGTTTTGTTCTCTTTTCACAGCTCCCCAGACAGACTAAATTCTGAGATTAAAAAAAAAAAAAAGTGAAGCTAGACTCCTGGTGCCTGCATCCAGCTGTTTTCCTGGCAGCTGGATAGAAGTGGTTTGCCATTGCCTTCTGTTGCAATGTGTTTTTGACTTCCCAAGTCTAGCTAGCTTCAACCTGGCTGAAGTCAATGGTGCCTCTGCCCTTATTCACACACAAACATATTTTCCAAGAACGGTTATAAAGCCAGAAAACCTTTGCTTATCTTAATGAATTTATTTCCTTCGGCTTGCAACAAAGCAAAGAGTCATGACTTCTAAGGATTCCATCATGCAAACGCCTTACAGTATAAACCTCGACAGTTTCCAAGTTGACAAAGCTCCAGCTTTGGATGAGGAAGTTCTCAGAACTTATTCAGAGGAATCCCAACAGGGATCAAACCAGAAGGAACTAGCTCTGCAGAGATTAGCAGTTCCAAATTCGTAGAAATGCCTTTCAATGAACTGAAAATATCTGGCTTTTAATTCCGCTCTCTGGAAGACTCAAGACTAGGCAAAAGATGGAGCAGAATACAAAGAGGGAAATTATAGGAAACTTAGAGGCAGGCCCATTTTATTGATTAATTGACTAAATATTTCTCTCTGGGTGTTTTAATAAATATGTGTCTGCCTTGAACTCTTGGAACTCTGAAAAGTTAGCAGTGATGTTTATAGATCCTTCTAAAATCTAGATGAGTAATATGCGCATGTGGTTTTTTTTTCTTAATATATTATTTTTTGCTATTAACTTTTTTAAACCAGACAGTTGCAGAGGTTACTAAGAACACAAGTAGAAGGACACAGATTTTTGGGGGGATAACCAGACATAAACAAGAAGAACTGAAAATTCTTTGTCCTACCAGAGTTTGCCCTGCTGTTTCAAGCAACAACTTCATGAATTAATAGCATTGGCCATTACCAAATGAGAAGGACCTGGTGGGAAATTCAATACAGCCTACAGGATTCTAACTGGGATTCAAAAGTTTAAGAAATCAGAGGAAAAGGGACACATTATTGAGCATAAGATTTATAGAACTTTCCATCATCGCCCTATTTAAGTTTGCTTCTCTGTGTGGTTAGATGGCATTAGATTCCATTAGCCTGCATTCTTCATTCCAAACCAGCTGTTTATTCATCATCCTTAAAGTAGGTTAGAAGGCCATTTTTGCCCAATGCTGCTTGAAAAGAAAAAAAGGCAACAGGTTTATTGAGAAGGAGAAGGGAATCTGCACATGGATGTTGCTTGATTTTGAGAGGCAGTTTGGCCTACTCAGTGTAGGGAGAAGATGGCTTATTGAACAGAACAACCCAATGTAATAGGGGAAGTAGCAGGACATCATCTCTGGTCATTTCAGCTCTAGTCTTAGTCTTAGTTGTAGTCTTAGCCTTATAGTCTCAGTCTTAGTCTTAGCCTTATAGTCTCAGTCTTAGTCTTAGTCTTATAGTCTCAGTCTGAGTCTTAGCATCTTAGTATCTTAATGTCTAGTTTCTGTTATGCATATTTTCCTGCAGATTTTAAGAAAAATAAACATGTAATCCAGAAGAGATCATGACTCAAAAAGACACATTCAGTGTCCATTCTCATCTGGGACTGACCAAGCAGAATCCATGTGTCAGTCCAGCAATATTGCCTGTTGATGGTTCAGACAAGACCTTACTTCAGGAAGGGTGGATGTAGGAGAAGCAGTGACAGAGCCTGGGATGGAGTCAAAAGAGGAATCAACCTAGAATATCTACGTAGCCACAAACAGGTTTAAGACCAACCTCCTATTGTTACCCCTGATCTTATGCCAAGATAGTGCTAACTGTTAGTTGTATAGATTCCCATGTCTAGGAATGACTAGTAATTAATCACTTTAATTAGAACATCATACGTGGCCCTGATCTTTTCCAACTAACAGTGTTCATGTGAATTGGATGCAGACAGAGGTGACAATTGCCTAGCCATCAATGTCTGGCATAGCGGTCTCACCCCGCTTTATATCTACAACAGTTTCCACACTCCTTTTTCATGGACAGGTCAAGCAAAGTTGCCCCAAAGTTCTTCTATTTATAGTTCTGTTCTATAAGGCATCCCTGAATGCACAATAAAGTCAATCAGCTGATTGACAAGCCACCCATTTTTACTGTCTGCCTTGGACAGTAAAGACAGAAAATTGTTAAGCAACTGGCAGGCGACAAGTACACGGCTGGCCGTTCTCCATTTGGCCAGAGAACTACATGTTACTTTTTTAAAAAAAAGAAAAGAAAAAAAAGGATGACAGAAACTGAAGAGAAGGATTGATGAGGAGAGAAAGTGGGAGAAAGCACTTCGAATTGTGGGGGGCCCTGGGGAACCTTTTGCTAAACCCCCTCCCATTCGAAAAATCACTAATTGAAACCACCAATGGCAGGAAGAGTTAGCCCATGGTTAAGACTGAGCCTGCAGTTAGAGCAAAAGGACAATGGCAGCATCCCAAAGCTACAGCAATGGCTAGAATGGCTTAAAGCAAAAAATATGTTTGCACTTGACAAATTGGCAGACGGAAGAGAACTTGTCACTCTGCCTGGAATCGCTTGATTTCTGGTCTTCAAGGTACAGATATTGGACAGGATTAAGAACGCCCTTTTCTCCAACGGCAATCATCGTTTTGGTTTCAATCAAAACTGCGAAGGCTGCCCAAAGATGAGGGATGTCTAATTAGAACAATTCTGAGCAATAGTATCCCTGGGGGGGGGGGGGGGGGGTTGCTTGGAGTTGCTATCCCGAGCAGGAAGAGAGAGAGAGGGAGGGGAGGGGAAAGAAAAAGCTCTGTCCACGTGAAACCAGGGCTGCTTCTGGATAGGATTTGGACATGCCACGGGGAAAAGGAATTTGGAAAGACTGTGAACTGTGTCCAGATGAGTGGGATGGACAAGCGGGAGAAACTGCAGGTCAGCTTCCTAGAAGGCTGGGGGAGGATTTGCTCCCATCCCTGCAATCATCGAACCCAGCCACAAATACTTGACAGAACTAGATCAGCTAAGAATACATTCTAAAAACAAACAAACAAAACAAAACACTGGAGAGGCAGTGTTGTGTACTGGCTAGAGTGATGGAGTAGGAGGCCCAATTGGAGTCCATCCTTGGCCACAGAAGCTCACTGGGTGACTTCAGGCCAGTCAGTTGCTCTCATCCAAATTTCAGTGGTGAAAAAAAAGTAAGGTTCTACATTTAGGCAAGAAAAACCAAATGTACAGGTATAGTATGGGGGGGTACCTTGCTCAATAGTAGTAACTGTGAGAGGGATCTCGGAGTCCTAGTGGACAATCACTTAAATAGGAGCCAGCCGTGTGCTGCAGCTGCCAAAAAGGCCAACACAGTGCTGGGCTGCATTAACAGAGGGATAGAATCAAGATCATGTGAAGGGTTAATACGACTTTACAAGGCCTTGATAAGGCCACACTTGGAATACTGCATCCAGTTTTGGTCACCACGATGTAAAAAAGATGCTGAGACTCTAGAAAGAGTGCAGAGAAGAGCAACAAAGATGATCAGGGGACTGGAGGCTAAAGCATATAAGGAAAGGCTGCTGGAATTGGGTATGTCTAGTTTAATGAAGAGAAGGACGAGGGGGGACAGGATAGCAGTGTTCCAGTATCTCAGGGGCTGCCCCAAAGAAGAGGGAGTCAGGCTATTCTCCAAAGCACCTGAAGGCAGGACAAGAAGCAACGGACGGAAACTAATCAAGGAGAGAAGCATCCTAGAACTAAGGAGAAACTTCCTGACAGTTAGAACAATTAACCAGTGGAACCACCTGCCTCCAGAAGCGGTGAATGCTCCAACACTGGAAGTTTTTAAGAAGAGACTGGACAGCCATTTGTCCGAAATGGTGTAGGGCTCCTGCCTGAGCAGGGGGTTGGACTAGATGACCTCCAAGGTCCCTTCCAACTATTATTATTATTATTATTATTATTATTATTATTATTATTATTATTATTATTATTATTATTATTATTATTATTATTATTATTATTATTATTATTATTATTATTATTATTATTATTATATAGGGTGAGGATTTCTGGGGAAACAATGGAAGAGGAGGGTGTTGTTTATGCCACCTCCAGAAAAAGCAGGGTGTCATAAATACTCCCACAACACTCCCGCAACTAGAACGCCAAAACTAAAGCGAGGAACCACAGGCAGAGCAACCGCTTGTGTTGCAACCCTCTCCAGGCTTATTCATAAGTAAGGCAGGCAGCCTACTCCCAGGAAAAGTGCTTCCTTAAGATTGCAGCTCGTTTTTTTCTTTCCTCATAACAAAAAGACCAGTCTGGGAGGTTGAGGGTGGTTGGTTTAATCAAGATTACTCAGCCTTCAGAGTGTAAATTGGCAGATGGGTCAGAATTCCTGCAGTTTGTTTTTTTGGGAGAGGGAGGGTAAAAGACAGGGAATTGGCTCTGGTGGAATCCCACAAGAAATGGCTTCATATTGACGGAGACCAGGGATCCATCACTGTCTCAATAATCAAAAGGCAACCTTTCTATGGTTAGAGAACCTACTATAGGTTCGACTGTCTACCTACTGTCAGACTCCTGAATGGGAAATAACTCCATGTATGATAGGCTTGCGGGGCCGGCGCGTTGTGCAATAAGTTCACATGGTGTAATAAGGTGGCGGGTTTGTTGTCACTGTGAGTTGTGTTGGGGGGGTGCACGAAGGGAGGCTCAGCCAATCTCATTGTACACATGTTGCACTTTGACAATAAAGGTTGATTTGATTGGATTGGATAGAATTGAGAATGAACTACACAGCTCTCACCAAATGGTGAACAGGAAACTGTCACCCTTGTGAGGTAGCCTTCCAGGCAGGAAGCATGCCCAGATGAACCAGTTCTACCTTGTTGTAAAGTTAGATTAACAGAATCTTGCAAGTCTGAAAATACACAAACACACACAGCCCAAGAAACTACGGAGGGTCCTGCAGGCTCTGCTGACTCTTATCTGACTGTCCCCCTGTCTCTGAATGTCATTCTTATATGCCATTAGAGGAACCAGTGACTCCATTTAAGCTTTAGTAGAAGCACAAGGCCTCCTACTCCAGCAGAACTACTGTATCCTGTTTTGGGCAGTTGGGCAGGTTTCCAAAAGAAACTATGCGATGCAACCACTCTAATTTCTGTTTTCACTGGCGGTCCCTGTGGAGCTTGAAGACGCTGTTATATGCACCAAGATGATGCGATGTGATTTCCTTTGCAATGTGCAAACTTCCTGTTTCACATCCTTTGAGCTAGAAGAAACTTGCAAACGGTCAGGATTCCTAGAGAGGCAAAGGATACAATCATTGGGTGCATTGATACCCATGGCCGTTATGCTTTCTCGTGGAGCCCCACAACTGCTCTACCAGATCTTGGCGGCTTTTTAGAGCCTTCTGTGGAAATATCCAGGGGACTGAACACGGGTCCTTCTGCATGCAGTATTTCTGAATAGCCCGATTTGCTCTGATTCATTCAATTTTGAAGCATTCCTTCAAAACTGGACCGATTTTGGTCCAACTATGCGGCTGAACCCATCTCAAGCAGCGTCCTTGGCCTCTGAGTACTCTCAGATGAAAAGGAAGAAGAGGGAAAATCACTGTGAGAGATGTTTGTCCTCCTGGGCGGAGGGTGAGGGGGGGAAAGTGGAATTATTTTAGATCCAGGAAAAGCACAATAAGGACTTTGTGTTGCAAGCCTGGCAGGACAGGCTCCTACCTAAAGCCAAGGTGGAGAAAATGCTTGCTGCCCAGTTTGGTCATTGCTTTCCTGGCCAAGTCGTCCAAATTCTTGGAGCCTTCGTCGTTGACCGCGACCGACAAGATCATGCCGTCCTCCACAGCGTTCAAATATTGCACAAAGCGGAGGCTTTCGCTTTTGAGTTTGTAGGTGTCAAATCTGAAGAAACACAGACGGACATGTGAGAAGTAGAAATATCTGCCTTTGCCACGTTAATTCATGCACGGGCGCTCTTGAAGATGCCATCAGTGCTTGTTTTCGCACTCAAGAGAAGCCAACTCTGCAGGATAGAGTGACTTGCAGGTATCAGATAACTCACATTCATCCCATTTTAGTAGATTTTTTTTGCCATTATATGGGAGTACAAGCTTTGGCCTAGGAACCAAATGCATTCCTCCCTTCCTTTCTATCTTTTAAGCCTTTAGCTTCAAGTGTGTATATCTTTTTCTCCTTTCACGATCATATCGTTGAAATATGTGATTCTACCGGAAGTGCTTATTCATTTTATGATGCTGGTCTAGTCCATAATTAACCAACTCGCTCAAACCACTCTCCGTGCATTCTACAGCCCTCTCTTCTGTTCCTGCCTATTTTCAGGAAGTTAAACACTGTAATTTTAAGCCTGATAAAGTAGAAGGGGCAATCAACTTCAGAATGAAGTTTTAAGAAAAATGTGGGTTTGACCTCCAGCCAAACTCCCTGCCTAAACCACACCCATTTCCCCCCTTCTATGTTCACCTGCAGCCTTGTCCCGTTCCAAGATCTAAATATGTTGTATCCTGCATTCACAAGCTATGTTTGCACAATACCCCTTGACCAAATCAGGTAGGGAAACAGTCAGTGGATTTTCACAACATACTAAACTTGATTAGCATTAACCTTACTTAGCTCTTATTCTGGTTTTGCATATTGTATGAATTTAGTCTATTGGGGTTTAATGCACCATGCAAAATGGATTAAGGGTAATTAGGGAGCATGTTGGTCATGAAATGTGGGAGACAGTGTTGTATTGGGACTGGAGATCCAGATTCAGGTTTACTCTCAGTGCAACCTAATTCACAAAGAGAGAGTGATAATGGAGGAGAAAATATGATGCACGTTGCCTTAAAGTCCTGAAGGAAAGGTAGGATATAAACGTAACAACTGCACAAACTGTGCAAAACATACACACACTTTCTTTTTAGTGGGAGTGCCACAATCCTATATATGACTTGTTTTCTATTCTATTTCAACTAAATTTCCTTGGACTTCTCAAATTAGTTCACAAGAAGGAACGTTAATGCACTCTTGAAAATGACACGAGCACATCCCAAAACGTAAAACCACCACCAAATCAACATTTATTTAAATGATTATCTTTGTGGGAGCATCTTCAGGCTGTCAACTTCAGGACAACTCTCTCGTGGGACCGGATCCCACCAATAGCCTATAATTAGTGCCTGTGGCAGCCAGTGTATCATTTTTAAAAAATGTTTGCACAACTTATTAATGGTGTTTTTGCAGTTCTGTTTGGACCATGAGGTCAGAGTGGCTAATCCTTTGTTTTTGACCTCTGGAAAACAATACCAAGAAAAAAAGAGAAATGCTTGCTTGCCTTAGCTGAAATAGAGAAAGATTTTGAACTCTAAACTCACCGATCGGAATGGATGACAGCTGCAGTCTTTGGATCAATGACATGGACGATGATACCACGATGTCCCCAGCTTCGTTCGAAGTAGTATCCCCCTTCTTCCAATCCCCCTGGATTCAGAGTCTTGTTTAAGAAAGTCCAGGACAGCTTTCGCTCACCGTGAACCTCAAGAGTTCCACCGTTGATGACGCCAATGAATTTTCGCCCAAAATAACTGTCAGGCTGCCTGCCATCATCAGCCCTGTGGAGTTAATTTGAATAGCATTTGTTTTCTCCTCAACTTCGGGAATTTGCTGTACAGCAATAGTCAAAGTGCCAACAAATAAACAAGAGTGTACTATAAAGCCATCGGTTCAAATAATCAAATAAAGGATGATTCATTGATGAATAAATATTTTCTGAAAGCAGCAGAAAATAAAATCAGGAAAATAAAGGAAGTTCATTTATGATGTTCCAGCGGAAACCGGAAAGGCCACCAGAAAAATAAAATTAGAACAGAACAGAATAGAGCAGAGCAGAGCTGGAAGGGACCTTGGAGGTCTTCTAGTCCAGCCCCCTGCTCAAGCAGGAGAACCTGTACCATCTCAGACAAGTGACTGTCTAGCCTCTTTTTAAAAATCTCCAGTGATGGAGTGCCCATGATTTCTGGAGGCAAGCTGTTCCACTGGTTAATTGTCCTCACTGCCATTTGGCGCCAAAAGAAGCATGCTTTCTGAAGCAAGAATTCCATAACAGGAAAAGCTACTATTAGATAACTAGTAAGTAGCAAAAAGATTCAAACAGATCCTAGTCAGATAATCCAGATGTGAAGAAAACTTCCAAACAGCTCTACTTGCCCCTCTACTTTGGAAGTACTATTCTCATTCCCATTCTCAATGTTACGATCTCAGAATTGCAAATGTTTGTAACGGAGGCTCCAAATATTAACCTGAGGGTTGGGTTGATTAGGAATATATAAGAAAAGAGTTTTGTCTGGGCAATGATGGGTCACATCTAACCTAGACCCTGCCATTGGCGCTTCAAACTAAAATCCTCCACCAGAAAGACTAGCTAATTTTAATTGCATCCTATCTTAATAACCTTTAATTCAGTCTGTTTTTATTCTTGGGGGTAACAGTTCTGATTTGTAATCATTCTACGTATTTCTGCAGGGTCCAGCTTTGAACTTGGACCTATATCTGCAAAATGAAGTATCCTCTGATAAGCGTCTTTCTTCTCAGTGCATTGCAGTAATTTGGGTGTCTAATGCACCAGATCTCTGTTCCTCCATCCATCCATCCATCCATCCATCCCATAAAAAAAAAAAAGCCTTGTGGGGCTAATCTTCAAAATTATGGATGAGGTCGGTTTAATTACATACCGTCCATATAAGATGATTGTCAGGCTGCTCCGGAAAGGGCAGTTCTCACTCCCAATATGTAGTTCTCCATCATTTTCTATCCGTATATGACGAGTGCGCAAAACAATGGGGGCTGTGTTATCTTTAATCACTAGTTTTCCTAACAGAGGAGAAGCAAAAGGGGTATTTAGTTGGTTGATTTAAAACTGTACCATAAAGTTAAGAGTTTCCTTCTATGTTATCCATGCTTGGATTTCTCGGTTGTGCTTCTTTTGAAGGAAGGCAAATGATAAACATGGTCTATAATGCGTATTTTTAATCTTCTGATTTTTTTTCTCTCCTTACTGGATTTTCTCTAAACGAATTCTCTACAAAGGCAGGCTTTCTCTTTTTCAGAAGGAAAAAAATAATCATTGTCTGTATAATCCACAGATAATTCACCCACAGCTTTGGTTTCTGATCCACATGGCTGACTCTTTCTTCGGAGCGAGGCGTCATCCAAATTGGGTGAAGTGTGAACTAAGTGGATTGATCAGACTTCTGTATTACAGAACAGAAATGTGAGCAATAAATTAAAAATTTATTCTCTTCTCCTTCTCTTCTTCTCCTTCTCTTCTATAAGACAAGTAGAGAGTAAGAACTTCAATGGCCAGGTTTGTTGACACACTAGCCAACAGTGCCTTTTTTATAGCAGACTGTGCCTTTACCCATCCTATAATTATGGACTCTCACTGAACGATTTGGAGGACATTGAAAAAGGAAGTGGAAAAGAAACACAATAATCAAATTTGCAATTTCTCCAACTGGGACAACAACACAACTGCAGACAAGGTAGCTGATGAAATATATCCCCCAGAATTTCCACCCTGATGTTGACCAAAGTTGGTTTTATCCATATTAAAATTAACACTGTTTATCTTGACATTGCTATATTTGTACCTGCATGATATGACTTCTCTTTGTCTTTTAATTTAGTGGGGAGCAGTATTCCAACATAAATCTCCCCATAAATAGAGGCCAACGTTCATGAGAGGAAGTCCAGCAAAATGTTTACTAGATAATGCTGTTTATATAAACCTGCCCTTGGTATAAATAACTGAAAATGTCTATACCAAATCCAGTCATTAGCCAAGAAAGCAGTGTAATATTTACACCTGGCACCAGCAAACTAGAATACCAGAGAGGCACGCAGCCTTGCTTGCTGAGATCCTGGGAGTAAGGAAACTGCTTTTGTTTTAGAACAAATTAAAAAGGAATTTTGCATTCATTCCAAAACAAAGGTAATAAATAATGGAATAAGTATGTTTATCATTACTTGCACTGATACCTGTCTGGATGGGAGTTAAAACTTTCCTCTAACAGCAATGAAATTTAAATTTAAATAAAGTGGGTTCCCAAAGGCTGTCATATTATTGCTCTCAAATGGTGCCTCATTCCAACTTAATTGTCCCAGAATGCCCAATGCATTTCATCACTCTATTCAATAACAATCTTGGCAACTTGAAGATGTGCGGACTTCAGCTCCCAGAATTCCCAAGCCAGCATGAGTTGAAGTCCAGAAAACGTCAATCTGCCAGGGTTGGGAAACTCTGTTCTAGGAATCTGGAAGAGGTGGATTCAGCTGTCATCCTAAATACTTTAATATTTAACCTAAATAGGAAATTACATGCTTATTAGCTCTGGTGGCAAAGTGGTTAGAATGCAGTACTGCAGGCTACTTCTGCTGACTGCTGGCTGCCAGCAGTTTGACCCTGACCAGCTCAAGGTTGACTCAGCCTTCCATCCTTCCGAGGTCAGTAAAATGAGGACCCAGATTGTTTGGGGGACAAGATGCTGACTCTGTAAACTGCTTAGAGAGGGCTGTGAAGCCCTGTGAAGCGGTATATAAGTCTAAGTGCTCTTGCTTTTGCTATTAGAATAAAATAAGATCCGGCATCAGATAAATAGGGGTTTCATGAAAAAAAAAATCAAGAAATGAATGCAATTTTTAAAATCACTTTAAGAATATTAAGCTTATTTACATTTAATGAAGGTCTTTATAAAGCAAATGAGCAATCCCTTCTGCACTACTGAATATAGCACAGATGCTACAGCTTCTCATCAGACCAGCCTTACCTCCATTTGTGATGACGATGGAATGAACAGTGGCAGAAGAAGATAAGAGAAGCTTCTGGCCCTGGCTAATGTTCACGCGATTCCCTTCATCGTGTCCTGGCTGCCAGAGTTCCAGTTCTGGATCCAAATGGGGACAAGGTGGGACCATTCCTGTTGGCACACATGAAGGAAACATGGACTTCTTTATCTGGTACATAGAACACAAGTCCATGAAGCTTAGAGGACAATGGAAGTACTTCTGCACTCCTTTTCTCTCCTCTCCTCTGCTTTCTTTCTTCTTTCTCCTTTTTATTTCCATCTTCTTTCTTCCTTCATTATTCACTCTTATTGTCCTTGTGTTTTCTAATATTTGTATTTGTATCTTGTTAAAATTTTCTTCAATATAAAGTATATTTTAAAAAGAGAGGGCTGATTCCTGATACATGGACAATGGAGGAGCAGTTCTATCAGGAGATAAAAATCTCTAGCCCATCTCATTCTAATGTAAATATTTTTGTGACGTCAAAAGCCTGTTGGAAGGCTAAATGTCAGACTAGCGGGACACGTTGACCTGCTCAAAAGAGTGAAGTCTGGCCACTCTATGTTCACTGGCTCACTATCCTCTAGAAGATCTCCAGGAAGGCATTCCAGAGGTATACTTAGAAAATAAAAGGGTGGTAATTGTCTTCTGATAAAAGGGTGTTTTATGACTGCCTCACCCCCACTATTTTACAAGAGGTCCTAAACAGGCTTTCAACATTCCAAAGTTGGCCTCCAAAGTTGGGCATTTCTAGCCTAGAATATTCCTACTTTGGCTCCTGTGAGGAAAGGACCAGATGACTGAACAGAAGGCACCATGTTAATAGGCAACCATCAAAAGCCAGTAATTCAAGGGTGGGTTGGGGGCAATTTTAAGTCGCACAGATGGTTAATGGCCAAGCTTGGAAGATAAATCAAAGAACGGATCGCAAACTGCAGTCGGGACAGTGACAGTTTTACAACCCTTATCTTAAGTGTCTCTTTCTCTTTGTCCATTCTCTATTTGCCTCCAGTGCACACAAATGAAACCTCTCATCCAGCGCAAATGTCCCCATGATTTAATACTCAGCTAGGAACCCGCCCTCCCCCCCCATCTTTCACAAGATCCAATCAAGAAACCTACCAACTTTTCAGTAGACACAGAAATAGGAAAAGAAACAGATAAGCTTTAATTGTAGCTCAGGACATCTTACAACTGGGAGCACACACTTTTTTTTAAAAGTCAGAGAAAATAAACAGGTAGAAATAAGGCCACGAAAACAGGGCTGACGTTAGTACGGCAGTGTTTTTTTTAATGTCTCTCATGATAAACCTAGAGAGAGATATTAAATGGATGTTGCTTTTAACCTAGGAATTTTGTTCGTTGAAACAGGGAGTCTTGCAACAGCTCTTACCCATATGTTGAGCGGGTAGCATTAATAAGACAGAAAGCGTGCTGATGGCCAGGAACATCATTGGATGTGTAAAGGTCTCTTGATCTTCTTTGTCGTCTGCAAACCTGCAAACAGGAAGAATCAGAGCAAGAGGAATCATTTAGCATTTGTCCGTGTATGTTTCATATAAAAAAGGGAGCATCAAGCAAGATTAAGCTTGACTATATGACTAAATAATATGTTAATGTATCCCTTTTCTTAACTTGGCTGCACAAAGGTAAAAAATATGCTTTTACATTCACCCACACCGGCTCACCTTTTTATGCACCCTTTGCGTGGGCTTAGTATTAAAATTACTTGGCATTATAAAAACACAGAGGGAAACAATGGCGATAAGTGCCTTGCGTAAGTACCACCAATTTATGTGGTGGAAGATTCATGTGGAAACAAGAGAATTTAGTCTCAAGTTATCCCCAGCTTCAACATCTATTTCAGCTTTAAGTGTGTATATCTTAAAGCTCACACCCTTGAGACAAAAAGAATGGTGTGATCATACACCACACAAAGAATGTAAAAACTTTTAAGATGAAAGTCAATTACACACAAGAACAACAACAAAAAACAAGCCCAAGAATTGTGCAGCTCTTTCAGATGCAAAGTTTATTATATCTTTCTTATTTATTTTATTTCATTTCATTTCATTTCTATGTCTCCCATCTTCTCTAGAAGTTGACTCTCATGATAAACTGGGAGATATATTAAATGTATGTTGCTTTTAACTTGAGAATTTTCTTCATTGAAATAGTGAACCATTATTATCTCTGGGCTAAATTCAATAAAAAAAATATTTTTGAGAAAAGATTAGATAGATAGATAGATAGATAGATAGATAGATAGATAGATAGATAGATAGATAGATAGATAGATAGATGAGAGAGATATCAATGATAGATATGGATAGATAGGTAGGTAGGTAGGTAGGTAGGTAGGTAGATAGGTAGATAGGTAGATAGATAGATAGATAGATAGATAGATAGATAGATAGATAGATAGATAGATAGATAGATAGATAGATAGATAGACAGACAGACAGATAGAGACAGATATGATAGCTAGATCGATAAATATATTCAGCACATTTTCAAAAGGTCATCAAATATAACTCAAACCTCAATGGATAGAGCATAATCATAAAATGACCTAATATAGCAGAAAGAGAAATATTTCAGAATTTAAAAATTTAGGAACAAGAAAACAGAAGAATGCCTAGTGGTAGTCCTCCATTAATGGATACCCCAGTAAAGACAGTCTTCTTCTCCTCCTGTCCTCCATCAGATAGTCAAGGCATCCAGAGGAGAAATTTGGAATAAAATCTTAGTGAAAGGGTGGGCTATCTTATTTTTTTTCTTGCTGATTACTCCATATGGCCACTGGTCTGACTTGGTATGAGAAGGTGGTGTGAAGGAGCCAATATCCAGCCAGGAGTGAGGAAAGACAGAACTTTCATTTCTGTGCAGAAGCAGAAGAGGACGCCGCTGAGTGTCACACCCAAGGAGTGCATTACAAAAAGGCATAGTTGTTTTTACACAATTTGCTATAAGAAACAAAAGAGGAATGCTGATTGATTCATGACAGTCGCACATGCTCACAAAGCAAAGCCATATTTAATTAAATAAAATAAATAAATAAATAAAAATAAAATAAATAAATAAATAAATAAATAAATAAAATTTATTTATTAAATTTATATACCGCCCTATCTCCCTTGCGGGACTCAGGGCGGTGAACAGGCGATACTAAAAACCACAATAATAAATAGTTTTAAAATCGAATTAAATAACAGGCCTGTTCTAAAAACACACCCGTAAAAAACCCCCCACTGAAACATAATCAAACTACGCCAGGCCGGCCGCACGGAATAGATGGGCCTTCAGGGCTCGGCGAAAAAGGTGCAGGTCCGCAACTGTACGTAGGTCGGGGGGTAGGTCATTCCAGAGGGCAGGAGCTGCCACAGAGAAGGCTCTCCCCCTGGGGGTCGCCAGCCGGCATTGTCTGGCCAACGGCACTCTAAGGAGGCCCTCTCTGTGGGAGCGGACTGGTCGAAGGGAGGTATTTGGTAGGAGGCGATCTTGCAAATACCTAGGTCCATTGCCACGGAGCGCTTTAAAAGTTGTTACTAACACCTTGAAGGGCACCCGGAAGGCCACCGGCAGCCAGTGCAGCTCGCGCAGGAGAGGTGTTACATGGGAGCATCTAGAGGCCCCCAAAATCCCCCGCGCAGCCGCATTCTGAACTAGCTGGAGCCTCTGGGTGCACCTCAAGGGGAGCCCCATGTAGAGAGCATTGCAATAGTCCAGGCGGGAAACAACGAGGGCTTGAGTGACTGTATGTAGGGCGTCCCGATCCAGAAAGGGGCACAACTGGCGTATCAGGCGAGCCTGATGAAAAGCCCCCCTGGCCACGGCCGTCACATGATCGTCTAAAGACAGCCGAGCATCCAGGAGGACGCCCAGGTTGCGAGCCCTCTCTGCGGGGGCTAATGACTCGCCCCCGATAGCCAGAGATGGAACCAACTGGCTATGATGTGATGCCGGAAACCACAGCCACTCGGTCTTGGACGGGTTGAGACGAAGCCTGTTCCTCCCCATCCAGACTCGCACGGCCTCCAGGCACCGGGACATCACTTCCGCGGCATCGTTGGGGTGGTCCCAAGGTATCATAGCCAAGTGTCAAAACCACAATCTATTAGCCAGTCTATATAAGAAACATCTGTGGTCAATCTATGACATGTTATAGAAGTGTTTAAAAAGTGTTAGGCAAGACGTGTTATAAAAGTGTTAAAGAAGTGTTAGGCAAAGACACAACTAAGCTAATGGTTCTGGTTATAGTTAACTCATAGCTTCAAAAACCTGAAATTACTTTTCTATTACCTATTTCTTTAGCTTCTTATGACTATAACTCTGTGGTTTGTATCTCATGATTTATCTTGATTCCTTTTATTNCCTCCCCTCCCCTCTCTCTTCTCTCCTGTTCTGCCAATAAGTCACCAGGCCCTCAAGCTGGAGGTGTAAGAATCAGGCAAATTTCCACTTGTCCTATAATATTTACAGGAATAATTAGTGTGAGGGTTGAACTATGTCAACACTGAGTGGCACCATGAATAAAACTAGGTGAGGCCATCCTTTTTTTCCCTCTTCTTTGGCATGTTTCCCTCACTTTTCTTGACATCCCTTTTATTCCCTCTCTTCACCTTTCTGATACCATCTTTCCTTTCTCTCAGCTCTTACAAAACAGAGCAGGTAAGTTGCTTTCCTCAGACGTATGAAGTCCCTACTTGCAAAGAGCTTTTGAAATTGTGCCAGGAGCCTTTTGTGATGGTTGGCCTGATATATGAGAATGCACTTCCTCAAACTTAATTCAAAGCCAACATTTCTATGTCCATAGTAACAAGGAATCTGGATGCCAGGATCACTTCTTTAACCCAGAGTTTCCTTGCTCCTTGAACCTCAATTAGTTGAATTCATTGTTTAGATGATTAATATCATTTGTGTTTTAAAGAAGGGCTGTCAAAACCGGTGGTCAAGGCAGCCGCAATTTCCAATTAGGAGACAGAAATGGATACTCGTATTTGCATCAGGCAAGGGAGAGACAGTTCTAATATCTTGCTCCAACCTAGCGCCCTTCAGATCTCTTTAAATCACATCTGTACAAACTGCAAACATCATAACATGCTAGCTGCAAAGCCTGAGAGCGTCAATGCCCACACATCCAGAAGATACCAGGCTAAAAAAGGAATAGCTGTAGATCAAAGACACAGAACCTCTAACCATGAAAGAAACAGGTTGATTAATATTTAGACCAGTGTCTCTCAACCTTGACAACTTGAGGATGTGTAGACTTCAACTCCTGGAATTCTCTAGTCTGCCTTCCTGCCTGGAGACTTCTGAGAGTTGAAGTCCACACCATCTTCAAGTCGCCAAAGTTAAGGAACACTGCTTTAGAGAAACAGGAATGCTAACGACATAAATTAAATTGAAACTAAAAAGTACACCAACCTTTCCACGGCTTTTTCATCCTATTCATCCAGCTATGCTCCAGCAAGACTATGAGAGAATTATTCCAAAGCACAAACGCACAATCGCCCAATTGCCAGTGCCGCTGAAATAATTGCCGTGCAGGTAGGCAAAAAGATTATGAGCCGCTGAAGTAAAACACGTCAATGGCATTTTAAATACAAAGAATGCTCAACCTCTTCTTAACAATTATGCCAGATAAGACAAGGCCAACAATATTAGACAGCATTCTTAGACAGCATAAAGCACATAGCTATGACTGGATTCCTGCAGAGAGGGAAAAAAAATGCAGATCTGGAGTCTCAGACTGCAGCACAAACCTGGTGCCATAATCAAAAGATATGGGTAGCTTTCTTTTCTTGCCAGTCACCCAGCCAGATTGATTTGGTTATTGCAAGTTCTGACAACAGGTTAAACCTTAAGAGTGGGTTAACATGCAACATTCCTGTATTTCCAGAACACAGAGAACTGAACAAATATATCCCATTATGGTTTGTTCTTACAACAAACCAAGATAATGGATGGGCTTCCGATACATACTGGACATGAAGTACGCAACCATGTTGTAGCCTAGTTAAATGTCTTTTCCCCCCAAACCCAATCTTGATATGGACCACCTTTTCCTAATCAGGTAACTTTGCAAGATATTAGAAAGTACAACTCAATGTATCTTGGCTTGGGAAGAGTTGGAAAAACCCTGTAAAGGTTTTTCTCAATGTAAAGACATGTCCGTGAATAAATCCATCAAAATATGGAAACTCGAGCCCTTGAAGAGATGGCTACCTGCCCCAAACAGAACCAGCCAGCTTTTAAATTCCATAAGCAGCTGCATGAAGAGGCCACTGTTACTCTTCATGGGCAAACTAGGTTCTCCAATTGAAGGCAGAACATAGATTTTTCAGCCTGTTTGATTTTGGAGCTAGAGGTGGAGGAGGAAGAAAAAGTCAGAATTCCCTTCTTGACAATGGAAAACACAAATCCAACTATTTATCATCTCCCGATGCCAAAATGAATGTTTAGAACTTCGCCTACTGCCAGCTGGCTCTATTAAC